TCGAAAAGTTTGAACCGGGGGCCCCTTGATATAACGTTACGCCACTGAGCAAGATAACCTATCAAAGTTGTCCACTCTCTTTCACAAGTAAAATATTTGATCTGGTGTTAGACAAGGTAAAATAAAAAGTACTGAAAGTTGAGCATATTCATCCTAACGAGTTAGTGTGAAATGTAAGTAAAGAGTCTCGTTAACTTGAATATACCATCACATAGTTAAATGTTAATTTCATAAAAAATATGGAGAATTTTCCTGGCATTACACTAAGGCTAACATATTTTAATTCATATTGACTGGTGCAATTACACCTCTCCCAATGAAATATCAATTTTAATTTGATATCAGAATCTTAGGAAGGTTGCTGCTGATTTGAGCAAGTAGATAAATTTTCAAACTATATGTAATATGAGCATATAGTACTATATAGTCTATATGTATAGGCATGCTTAATGTCTGCAATTAATCTTGCATATACAGTTTATAATATACAAATATATTAACCAATAAACATTGAAAAGTCTAATTCAAATATAAAACTCTTATAGTAGCATTTATTGAAGTATAAAAGACAGATAAATATATTTATATCAGCGTTTATTGTCGCGGCAAATTCAAATTTTAAACCGATCGAAACACATGCTCGAATTTCACGAATGAATATTGGACTAGGTATTCCTTTATAATTTGCTTTATTATAAACAAAATATAAACATATGCTCACCTGAACATTATACAAACATCGCTGAGGTATTACTAGTGAAAATCCAGTTGAATCTCATCAAAAATAGTTCTATTTTGAACATATAAAGCATTCACAAACAAAAAATTTATAAAATATCGGAGGTGTGATGACCTATCCCAAGATGCTTTGTGCGTGTGGCAAAAAAATAGACACCAGTCTGTTGGTCGCGCACATTGCGGTAATTATTCATTTGATTAATGTTAGAATAAATTTATTTTCCAATCCTATAGGAATTCCTATAGGAATTTTTATTTCCTATATGTATATTAGTATATATATAGGAATTTCGTTTTCCTAAAGGAATTTTTTCACCATTTTCAAATCTTATATGAATTCTTATAGGAATTTTCAAATCCTATAGGAATTTCATTTCTTATAGGAATTCCTATAGGAAATTTTCGTAAGTGTTGGCATAGCATTGCCATAGAAATCATATGCATATGTATGGATTCTCTATTGGAGGCCAGAACCACACCAAGTTCAGACTCCATATAATTCCCATAGATATGGGAAGTATATGGCACAACCAAGTGTGGACTACCATATAATTCCCATAGGTATGGGAAGTATATGGGACAACCAAGTGTGGACTACCATATAATTCCCATAGAATTGGTTATATGTAAAAGCATGCCATTGATATGGATTACCTATGGACCAAGTAACCCCACAGATTTCCCATAGGATTAATGGCAATGTGTTTGTTTCCATAGCTTTTCCATATCTCAATATTTAACAAATTTAGACACCATACCAATCCCACATGATATCTATACTGTCCCATATCATGCCCACATATGGGTCATATATGGCCCAAACTTTGCCATATCTTTCCCATACTTTTGCTTTGGTAAGGGTAGATCAAAGATCTAGCCACCAAAATACTTGTTTATACCTGTTGTATAAGTTGCTGAGATTTCATGAGTGTTTGACTAAATCTCAGCCATTTAAGGCAGCTTGACATTGTTTTACTAAACTAATTAGCAAGTTATAATCATTAAAAAAAACAATCAAAACACTTCTCAAAGGCTGAGTATTGTTACGAAACAGTTTGTTCTACTTTCAAATCATTCTAAGCATCTATACTCTAAGATCTGAAAGTTTGGTATAATTTTGTTAGGCAGTTTTTGTGTTAGCATGAGTTTGTCAGCTGAGGTCTTACTTTACTGTACTGTACTTAAGCAAAATTCACTCGTTTTAACATGTCATCGCAATATAAATTTGGTTTCACTGAAAGTAGATCAAAGTTCTAACCACTAAAATACTTGTCTATATACCCTTTGTATAAGTGGCTGAGATTTCATGAGTGTTTGCAGGCTAAATCTCAGCCATTCAAGGTGGCTTGACATTGTTTTTAATTACTAAACTAACTAGCAAGTTATAATCACAATGACCAATGAAAGCACTTCTCAAACGCTGAGTGTTATTACTAAACAGTTTGTTTCACTTTTAAAATCATACTGAGCATTTATATTCTAATAGTGGAAAGTTTGGTACAATTTTGTTAGGCACTTTTTGTGTTAGCTTGAGTTTGTCAGCTGAGGTCTCACTTTACTCCAGTTAACCAAAATGAACTAATTTTAACATGTCAGCTCAATATAAATTTGGTTTCACTGAAAGTAGATCAAATACTAGCCACCAAAATACTTGTGTATACCTAGGTGTTCTATAAGTTGCTGAGATTTCTTGAGTGTTTGACTAAATCTTGAGGCATTCAAGGTGGCTTGACATTGATTTACTAAACTAATTAGCAACTTATAATCATAATAAACCGATGAAAACACTTCTCAAAGGCTGAGTATATGGGGCGCCGTTTGTAAAAAAACTCCTTGACATAAACAAACGTGTTTTTGTTGCGATTTAGATACATTTTGCAGTGTTATACACTATTTTTTTGTTATATTTACTAAATCGCAAATGCAATGTTATTGTCATTTATTAAATCGCAAGTGCAATGCCATTGTCATTTAATAAATCGCAACGCAATGTCATTGTCATTTAATAAATCGCAACGCAATGTCATTGTCATTTAATAAATCGCAAGTGCAATGCCATTGTCATTTAATAAATCGCAAGTGCAATGCCATTGTCATTTAATAAATCGCAACGCAATGTCATTTACTAAATCGCAAGTGCAATGCCATTGTCATTTACTAAATCGCAAGTGCAATGCCATTGTCATTTAATAAATCGCAAGTGCAATGCCATTGTCATTTAATAAATCGCAAGTGCAATGCCATTGTCTATGAAGCGTTATTAGGGTCAAAATTCGAATACAAATTATGTTATCCTTGCACTCAATTTATATTCTTTAAATCGAATAACATAATTTGAAATGGCATAATAGAATTTGAAATGGCATAATAGAATTTGAAATGGCATAATAGAATTTGAAATGGCATAATAGAATTTGAAATGGCATAATAGAATTTGAAATGGCATAATAGAATTTGAAACGGCATAATAGAATTTGAAATGGCATAATAGAATTTGAAATGGCATAAAATTTGAAATGGCATAAAATTTGAAATGGCATAAAATTTGAAATGGCATAATAGAATTTGAAATGGCATAATAGAATTTGAAACGGCATAACATAATTTGAAATGGCATAACATAATTTGAAATGGCATAATAGAATTTGAAATGGCATAACATAATTTGAAATGGCATAATAGAATTTGAAACGGCATAACATAATTTGAAATGGCATAATAGAATTTGAAATGGCATAATAGAATTTGAAATGGCATAATTGAATTTGAGACAGCATGGGTAACCCACCATCACCCGCCCCAATCATGCGTTTATTCATATATGGTAAGGTATTGTCTAAGGATTGGGGTGCATGGATTCAAAATATCCGTGCATGAAGTAGTAGTTACCGGTACAAGTGTTCGGTAATTTAATTAAGCAGGCCACAAGGAATGAAGGCTCCGTATAAGGGACTGGTCATAAAGTAACTGCTACGGTGGGCTGGAGGTAAATCACAAATTTTGCCAATAAGTTCGGTGACCCATCTTAGGATGTAGATAAAAATTTCAAAGCCCATCTAATCTTACAAAAATAGGTACGCGCTGCGTACATGTGGGTAGCCTGCATTGTTGCTAAAGCTAGAGTAATACGAGGAACAAAATTGCTGCAACTTGTAACAAAATTAAATGCTTCGTGATTTGTAATGTATGTGTAACATTTCAATTAACATGTGCATAAATCATATGCATAAAACATATGCATAAATCTTGTTGCAAGTTGCAGCAATTTTGTTGCCCGTATTACTCCAATTGCTATTGGAGTAATCGCTATTGTCGAATTCTGAATTTACTGAAAGAAAGTATTAAGTAAATTGGACACAGTTGAAATATTATAAACACATTTAATCACATACAAAACATCAGATATGACAAAAATATGTAAACGACTGTTACGTGCATTTTTCAATAAGCATAAACAGATCTAAGAAGTTACAAAGTATTTTAATGTGTCAAAAATAATTTGCACACACTGAACACTACAAGGTCTTATATATATATATATACGAAACAAAATACTTCATAGGACGAAATACAGACAGTACGAAGAACACTTAATTAACACAGGAAGAGTTCTTGTTCAAGGACACATCAAAGGCTTAGGTTTACAGGCTGCGTATACAATTTTCGCGGAGTTAAATTTCAAGGATAGTCCATGCAAAGATCTAAGGACGTTGTTTTCCAACGCAGTTCGGTGAAGTTGAAAAAGATCGACATATTCTTTATTTAGTGATGGTTAATTATTCATAAACTCTTTTCCTCTCTGAGGGAAGTGAACATTCGTTGTTGTTTCTTGTTCTTCAAAATGCTTCATTACTCAGGTTACACTGTTTCAAACTGTTTCAACTTTGTCTGTAGCAATTGAATTTATCTCTCGTGGATCAACACAACAGTATAAACAATTTGAAGATTTCATAAATTTAATATTAGTGTCATACTTCAATCCAGTGGCTATGTATGTTGATATCTTCTCATCGATGTCATTCATTCTCCATGATTACAAGTGTTCTGCAGATCACAGTAATACTGGCAGGATAAGTGGCAAGATATGGCTATCAAGATTGTCATTTTTGTTCTCTGTTGTTGAACTGTAAGTTCAGAAAAAAACAATAGGATTAGAAATAAAGTTACTTAAATAACATAATAACCTATTTCAGAAATATGAAATTAAAGTATAATGTCAACATTTACCTGGAAATCGATAATATTATAGTTTAATTTTGATATGATTTATTTCGAAATATGCCGCTGGAACCTACAAGAAAAAATAAAAAATGAAATGAGAATGAAAAAAGAGAGAAAATGTGCGATAAAAAACATACTTACCTCCATGTCCATTGATGTGGAAGTTGTAACCATTTCAATGGGCAATAGTTACAAGTTACGAAAGAAGTATAATTTCATCATATTTTAGTTCCATTTGCGAAGTCTTAATTAGAAATAATTTCTAGTTACTTTACTCAATCGAAAAATAGTACAGACTGTTTTAGCTGTATAATTAACTAAATCAAGTCAGGAAGAAACAGCTAGGTTAAGTTCGTGTAATTACTTCTTTACCTTTACAGAAGCCCAAATTGCTTTGTGATCACTGAAGTATGTTTCAAGAATACCTGCATGAACTTCTCCTTTATTTAAATTTGTATATAGATGATCAATCAATGTCCTATTATCGGTTGTGTAGGTTGATATCAGTTGTTCGAGGGAAAGTTCATTGATCATAAGGCTGTACAGTGATCGTCGCTCTAATTCATTTAACCAATTAATGTTGAAATCTCCAATGATTATGACTTGAGAAGAGGGGTTTTCTTCTAGAATGCAGGCACGAAGAGTGGTCAAAAGACTTGATACAGCAACTCTTGGTGACCTGTATATTCCAATTATAATCAAGTCTGGACATTGAACTGTTTTTATAATAGTGAACTCGATACCGTTACCATTTCGTGCACGAGGGTACCCATTCAACATTGGAAGTTTAGAGTAAATTGCAGTGCCATGATATGGACGATTGGAATCTGAGGTATCGTCATTTCTAAATAGTCTGTAACCTTCAATTTCGTACATCTCATCAGGATCTTGCGAACAAAATCTTGTTTCTGCGAATATTAGGATGTCAGCTGATGAATAATTAATATCTTTTCGTACATCTTGGATATGTTTATGCAACGATCTGGCATTAAGGTAACATATCTTCAAGTCCGAACGATTAAGCATGTACAAAGGAGTGAAACAAAGATCCAACTTATACTCATTTCTTAGCAACTGCATTTCTTGCACGACTTTTGTATCAACCGAAATCTTACTTTCACAGAGATCAGTTATATACAATCCTTCAATTGTTGTTACCCGGCTTAGAGCTACGTAATGTATATGAGGGATTGCTCTCGTTGTATTTAAATTAACAACGATTTGCGACTGAGTGTCACCTTGTGATCTATGAACAGTTTTAGCCGATGCAGGTCTTAAAGGGAATTGTTTTCTTACCACTTGAGCTGACTTTGTTTTGCCAACAGAAAACTGCGTTGTAACTGGTTTGATAGGTGTCCAAGTATTTGGTATACCTCTTACAAAAAGATTTCTGTTTTCTTGTCGGGTTTTCTTCCCAACATCTTCGTAGTCAAACTCAACCCAAACAAAACCAGAAGGTTTGCTATCATTAGTCAATCGAATTAGTCTAATAATATTACTGGCGCCATTTGTCAGACCATCATCAGTGCATACATTTATCGCAATTTCTGATCGCTGTCCGACAGCTATATTCAGTTTAAGAGCTAACTGCTTGGAATTTTTCAAAGGTACGAACGGTATTTGTCTCATTATCTTTTCCTTGAGTTCGGCTGAACATGCTCCAATGACGCTGTCTTGTGCCTTGATTGTGTATTTGCCATTATCGAATGATTGGTAAACTTTATCGTTATAGTCATCAACCAAGGCATTTTGAATAAACAAGCGTGGTGCTTCTGTGGGACACTCACTTTCTTCGACGCATCTCTGTTGAAGTTTTTTCAGATCACTAGGTGTATGGTTACCTTCACGAAGTCGATTAAGAATCTCAGCAAATTCCTTACTTTCTTTTTGACGCATGATCTCATCGAGCTCAAACATTCGGAAGTATTTCCTCCATAAATTAGGAGCGAGAATATTGTACGAATTCAAACATTGAACATCTGTAAACACGTAACCATCCATTACAGGCTTGAGTTGAAATAAATCACCTATGGTGATTATACTTACACCACCAAAGTCTTCCTTGGTACCTTTTAAATCTTTCAAACGATTATTGAGTTGAATGGTGAACATACTGTTTCCAACCATGGATACTTCATCAAGCAATATTAATTTTAATGCACCCAATTCACATCTCATCGTGTTTAATCTGCCAGAATCTAATTGTTTATAATTTTTCAGTGACTGACTCGCTGGAATGCCAAAAGCACTGTGAATTGTGTTACCTTTTATAAGGTATGCAGCCTTTCCGGTTGGAGCAAGCAGTAATATTTGAACACGACGAAAATCTTCTCCTGCTCGTGTGTTGTAGTACTTCATTGCTGCCTGGTAAATTGATTTAATAAGGTGAGACTTCCCAACACCTCCACTTCCACTGAGAAAAGCATAAAATGGTTTATCTGATGTCTTAATGATATGTAGGGCATGATAAAAGAATTCTCTTTGCTTTTTGTTCAGCATCTGAACTAAAGCTCTGTATTCGTCATCATGTATTTCATTCAAAATGAGAGGATCATTATTTCGCAGAGTAGATGGTATACCCAAATTTTCAGAAAGATGATCAAATGTTTCATTTAAATCTGGATGTGTATCAGTACATCCTTCATCTTCATCTTGCCGTTCAACGTCTTGTGTGACAGGAGCTATGGTATCATACATATCATTATCATCACACTCCTGCAGGTGATGTCCAATTTCATTTAAGTCTTCAGTACAAACAGCATACTGTCGCATTTGCTCCCTTATCTCATCAATTCGTGCCAAGTAGTGCTCCTCGAAGGAAGAATAATTTCTTAACAAATCACTTTGTTCATTGCGCCAGGAAGTAAAGAGCATAATCAACTCACGATAATGTTTGTTCGGTTGAGCCTCTTTATTGAACCAGACACTTCGGATTATTCTCGCTTGAATTCTTTTCTTTACTGCTTTACTTATTGTAGCATTTACACCTGGATTATTTTCCAATAACTGGTCATCGTTATTTTCTTCATTGTTCTCCATTGGGAGATTATCGATGTCGGTCTTTTTGTTTGTTTTTCTGCAACTATATATAATACAGGAGTCATACCATGCCGCCCAATCAGCTAATGTTGTATTTTGCATACATTCAGGTCGTTCTACATATCTTTTTAAAAGCCCACCAGATTGTATTTCTTCGCATTCGTCTGACATTTTTTCTATTTCACTCAAAGGTTTTAGCAACTCGACTCGTTCAGCAGGAGGAGATGTATTAATAAAAATGACACTACGTGATGCCTTTCGCATAGGAAGTTGCAGAACTACATAGACTGCTTCTTGTGCACAAATTTCTACAGAATTCAAAAACTTGTTTCCAATATCACGAACTTGCTGTTTTATGTTTGTGTTTCCCTGTTTTGCTTCAACAGCTTTGCGTAGTAATTCACTCATTCCCTTTTGAGCTTTGGAAATATATGAAACAATATACATGGCACATGCATACACATCTAAGACATATTGAATATCCATATTAGCTCTCCATGCCTGAAGGCATGTACGATTGTAATTATTTATCCTTAATTCGTTTGGACTTCTTTTTAAAAATAATGTTGGACAGTTTAAAGATGATCGAATTGCAAGGTAATATTGACGTTCCGAAACGTCTAACTCTTCTAAAAGTTCAGAAAATGTAATGTTTTTACCTTCTTTAAGATCATTTAGCTTGCCCCTAATATTTTTCCACAATTCTTTACTGCTTTTGACAACAGTCGGAGGTGTATTGTCATCAAGTGGGTACAGAATCTGAGTGGACCCCATTGGTGGTTGTGGGTAGTTAAATGTACAAATATTTTTAGACCTTTTCCTGCAAGTATGGGAATGCCTGTGTGTCTGTCGGTTAACAAGATCAAGTAATTCTGGGTCGCTATTTGGTTTCCTACACGTAATAATGCTATCAATGTACGCAACAACATCTTCATCTTTATCAACACCAAACACAGGTGCGTTTTCAAGCCATATCAACATATGTATGTGAGGTGAACCACGCTGCTGGTACTCAACTCGGTAAAACCAATCTTTAATTTTCCCTATCGGGACAAGTTCACTCATTAACACATCTTTTAAGAAAGTATTGAACTGAAAATCAAAGTGTCTCGCACATGTTACTGGGTCACTTTGAATCAGTCGACATTTCTCCTCCCATGTAAGATTGTTTAATTCGTCATCACTATAATTCCGCTGATCAATTAGTTTACCGAGAATTCTTAATAAATGATTCCATTTTGTTTCCGCTGAAGAAAAACTGCAAAATAATGATGCAGGTCCTAACTGGCGAATCATGGCAAACAAGTCTTTTTTGGCTTTTTCAAAGTAAGGAGGCGAACCTCTTAAAGTTTTCAAGAATCTGAAACCATCATCATGGTTTATCAAGCTTTGCAAACCTTCTTGCGTTTTTAATTCTCCAGCAGTAAGTGTTCGATTTCCCATTTTGTTTTTTCTCAGAGCAATTTGTGATTGTCCAATCAAAAGTTTCATTTGTAATTTTTTAGCTTTGAAAAATATATTTTCCACGCAATTGGCAGCTCGACGGTCTGATCTTCTCAATTCAGACTTACATATTTCACTGTAGTAAACACTTCTTAGTCTATTTTTTTCATCAGGTCTTTTTTGTCCCAGAAATATTCCTGGATATGCCATCTCTTCGGAGTACTGATCTCTAAATACACTCAATGGTCTGTCAAATACACTCACTGATCTCTAAATACACTCAACCGATCAACCAAGCAGCTGCTTGCATAACTTTGTGAGGTCTTATATTCAAAGAAAGTGCAGAACTTTTGTACTGTAATCTTCGCTTTAGTTGAACTTTAATAGTACCTGTGTCATCTGACAGCCTAGGAAGCATATTAACTGTGCTGTTAACATCTGCTGGAACATTTACAACATTACCAGTAATCTTCAGTTGTCCACCCCTTGGGGCTTGGAATATCTTTTGAAATGCTAACCGAGGAGCGATAAGACGGCACTCTAGTTCATTCAGATCAAAGAAATCGGGTTTTTGTGGAAATTTCATCCCATTAACAATTGCACAGGGAGGAACTTTCCCTCTTTTTAAGTGGTTATTACAAGTGTGACAGAGCCACTCAATATTGTCAACGCTCTTTTTATTTTGAAGGTATCTGCATATATCACGATTAGTTAACCTTAGACGGTCTGCAGGGGAAACACTGTGTTTATACCACAATTGATCACAACAACTACATACATATAATGGCCCAGTTGATACAGAGCTATGAAAGTTTCTGACTAGTTCTAAAATAGAATTAGTATCGATACGGAGCCCTAGTGTTGAATTTGTGTTTGATTCACTACTTTGAGATATAGTTTTAATCCTTTCTGTAGGTTTTCCAAGTCTGGCTTGTTTTTCATCCAACGTATTTTTCTGCAGTTTTAATCTTTTTAAATGATTTCTTTTTCGCGCAATCTCTAGTCTTTCTTCTCTTTCCTCTGTAGATTGATTTTTTTCCGAAGCTTTCTTTCGTTCTCGTCCTTTTTGAAGCCTTACTTGCTTGTCTTGAGGTGACTCAACGTTTCTTATTAGTTGCCTTCGCGCACTGGTATTTTTTCGGATTTTTTCAAGTCTTTCTTCTCTTTTCTCTGAACGTTGAATTTGTTCCGAAGCTTTTTTCAATTGTCGTTCTTTTTCAAGCCTTACTTGCTTGTCTTGAGGTGACTCAACGTTTGCTATTAGTTGCCTTCGCGCACTGGTATTCTTTCGTTTTTTTACAAGTCTTTCTTCTCTTTTCTCTGAACATTGAATTTGTTCCGAAGCTTTTTTCAATTCTCGTTCTTTTTCAAGCCTTACTTGCTTGTCTTGAGGTGACTCAACGTTTGCTATTAGTTGCCTTCGCGCACTGGTATTCTTTCGTTTTTTTACAAGTCTTTCTTCTCTTTTCTCTGAACATTGAATTTGTTCCGAAGCTTTTTTCAATTGTCGTTCTTTTTCAAGCCTTACTTGCTTGTCTTGAGGTGACTCAACGTTTGCTATTAGTTGCCTTCGCGCACTGGTATTCTTTCGTTTTTTTGCAAGTCTTTCTTCTCTTTTCTCTGAACATTGAATTTGTTCCGAAGCTTTTTTCAATTCTCGTTCTTTTTCAAGCCTTACTTGCTTGTCTTGAGGTGACTCAACGTTTGCTATTAGTTGCCTTCGCGCACTGGTATTCTTTCGTTTTTTTGCAAGTCTTTCTTCTCTTTTCTCTGAACATTGAATTTGTTCCGAAGCTTTTTTCAATTCTCGTTCTTTTTCAAGCCTTACTTGCTTGTCTTGAGGTGACTCAACGTTTGCTATTAGTTGCCTTCGCGCACTGGTATTCTTTCGTTTTTTGGCCTGTCTTTCTTCTCTTTTCTCTGAAGATTCATGATGTTGTTGCTCACGCTTTTTGTCAAGTCTCGCTTGTTTGTCCTCAAATGATTCGGGGGTTTTTTCACACTATAGCATTCTTTGGCTAATCTCCTTTCTCTTTGTTCAGGAGTCTCGCTTTTTCTTAGATTTTTCTTACGCTCTCGATCTTTCTGAAGTTTAATGTCTCTTTTCTCATATCTATCCAAATTGAAATTTTGATTTACTTTCTCTTTCTCGTTTACTCTTTCAGACGAAGCACAAGGACCAGTTGGTTCTTGACTGTAATTGTTGATTACGACTGAATGTGTATTTTCGTGGTCTGACCTGGGTGTTTCATAAATTAACTTCACACCCTTTAATTCAAATGGAATTGTATAATTTTGATTTGTTGCCGATGAAGTATCCCTGAAAAAATTAGCAAGGTTTTCTACACCTTCCACTGAAATTAAGACACAGTGACCAAATATACTTGGCATGCCATAAAGATCTCGAGAGTGAGAATCGAATACTTTAAACACACCGGGAAATGGCATTATAATGGCAACAGTGTTCATACCAATTGTGAGCAAACAGCTTCTGTAATTTAAAGTGAGGAATGTTTCATTTATAGCGTGCTCAAGTGTTACATAAGGATGATTATTGGCATTCATGAATAATCCCCCTGAAAATGAATCACTATACTGCAAATGAAAAGTGTGATTATCCATTTCAACAAACTCTGGTACATCAGTTAGCAATAGATAATTCTTATTTATACTCCTGCTAATTACACCATATAAGTTGTTTCCCAAAAATAAGATTTGGTTTAATATTGATCGATCCCAAATATTGACAGACTTTATTTCTTTATACACAATAGCACATAATGACATGGCAACACACTGTTTCCCTGCATTCAGTCCGAACAGTGAATTATTACCCTGGTTGTTGTCAGCATGGACTGTAAACATGGGATCTATTATATCACTTATAGTCCTAGGACCAGGATTTTCCTCCACATCATTTGAGAGTCTTAACAACAGTGGCACATAAAAATGATTATTATATATCATTTGCATACACCAATTTATGCATACTTCACTTTCTCTTGAATATTCATTCAATTGCCTGTTGAGATATGGCATGTAAAATATATTGATATAAAACAAAAATAGTAAAAGGTTCCAAAATTCACCTTTAAGTCGTGACAAATTGTTTTGAGATTCAATAAAATTTTTGTGTGATCCTATCCTGCAACGATATATTTCTAGAGTGACACCCATGATATGGGATTCTATAAACTAAATATTTTACTTTTTGCTTATTGATTAATAGTCTGGTTGGATCTTTCTAAATCTTTAGTCTAAAATTTCCAAATTGTGTTTTTACTGATATTTTTAATATCTGGACTTGTTTAGATATACCGTACTAATTTAGAACTTGTAGCAATGTTAATTGTAAGCATGTGACATACATGCACGCGCCTGACTGGATGTTCGTCAGTGCAAACACGCTGGTTTCTCAATTTTCTGCTTGTTAAAATAGTTCACAGTTGCACAGAATTAACCTGAAAGAGATAACATTTATGCAGTTTATTCATGTCATATTACCTCTCGAATTTGTTATCTGGCAATGAAAATTACCCTATTCACAATAGATTACATTGCCTAAACCAATATTTGGTTAATTCATAATTTTTAAAGTTAGAAAAACAATTGTATGAAATTAACTCATGAGAAAAAACTTATACAATTGTTAGCCTGGAGGGGTAAATTTCAAAGAAATTAACACTTAAAGATGCTCTCCATTTCCATTTACAGTAGTAATTTGCTAATTTTAGTTGTTATAGTTGTTAGCTGTTTGCTGGCACGACATGTGGCTGATGTAATAGAAATCAATGTCAACAAATCTTTACCATCTGTACATACTGATTTGCATAGATGCTCACACAAGAGACTAGACGCTGTAAATCTTCAAATATATAAAGCGCGCCCTCAGCCCCTCAAATATCTGCCCACTCAAGCAAAAGCTTACTATATTCACTGTAATGCACTATAATATCCCAATATTTGTTTATCAGCTGAGGATATGCCTTACCGGTTATATTCATGTTTATAACTACAATAAATACTTGTTTGTCACCAAAGTCCGTTTTGCTCATGCTCATGCACTTGTTTGGTTTACATTATTGTCTCAAACAATAGATAATTGAATTAAAATTCCGATCTGTGGGCACAAGCCGGTTAGGTCATTACGCATGAAATTCAGAATATATCACGCAGGGAAAAATTGAACTACTAAAGCAAACATTTAGTCCCAAAACAAAAAAAATTAGCGTTGCCATTTAAAATTTGATGCGTTGGGGCTGAATTTTCGCTTTAAGGCCTGATTCCACGAGGCGGAATTTTTCGACCTATTTTGTCTTTTTACAATTAGTTCTGCAAAGAGAAATTTCGATTCGGTCGAAAAATTTCGCCTAGTGGAAAACCGCCTTTAGTAATTCATTTTTTCCTTTGTGATATATTCTGAATGCATTCATAATGAGCTAACTTGTGGGTCCACAGATCGGAATTTTAATTCAATTATCTATTGTTTGAACTATTGTTTGAAACCATAATGTAAATAAAACAAGCGCATGAACAGAACGGATTTGACCCAAATGTTGCCTATGTACACATACGCCCACCTCGTATACCCCCCCCCCCCCACCATGTGTGGTAGCCTGTCAAAAACGGTTAATAATATTAAATATGAACCCAATATACTGTATATTGAGAGATGAATATATAAAAGCTTTAATAAAGCTTGTAATTCTTCAGGGATATAGCTATTCAAAACATAATATATCGTACAGCGAGTACGGATATTAATAATTAGACATTTCGACCTTTTCACCATTACCACTTGTCATGCCAGCAACAACCTCGCAAGCTTTTTCATATAGTGCAAAAAACACAAAGCAGTTAACCATGCAGTATTTTGCCGCACGTTATGTCCTGTTTATTCATAAATACAAGAAATACAACCGCACAAATATACAATAGCCAAAGGACATATTCTTTGCACGAGAGACAAAGGTCTGTTGTCTCTCAGTCAGTTTAATATATGAAAAGAATTTATATAAAAGTATCAATGTCGCACATTCATAAATAACTTAAAATAATATAATTGTTATCTTACCTTGTGGTTCAAGTGATCGTTGACAAGTATCTTTGAATATTATGAAAATACAGAGAGCTTTTTGGTCTTTAATAGTATTTGCAAAGTATATATTTTGATACGCGAATACAATGAAACTTTATCCGTCTTAGGTTAGCGTTCTTGGTGGCCTAGCGCGCTGCACCCGCGAACAGGCTCAAAGCCCTTGACCTCTGTCTGTGCCTCTGTCAGCCTCTGAGCTCTGTGCCCTTGATCATGCACGCGATGGCGAAAGCACGGCGCTAGTTATAGATTGAGTTCACTGGTTCAGCTCTACATACACTACAACTGTCTGTACCAGTGTGGGTAGTACCAATGTGAAAATGCTGTGCTGAGTAGTTATAGTACTACCTCAGAAAAACAAGCATAAACTCGATGTTTCGAGCGAAGGCGCTTCGCTCCAAACATCGAATTTCTGCTTGTTTTTTTGAGGTAGTAATATAAGTCATTTGCGATCGATAGGCCCTTGGAATTATTAACATGAGAGTGTTCGATACTGAAATTCTAGTAGAGCAAGTTATCGCCTGAAGATTGTCTCGAAAGGACGTGAAACTCAAGAGTAGCGATAATATATATTTTGTAAGATATAAAAGACCATATATAATATATTATATTATCACTCCTCGGTTGCGTGGCCTTTGCGTAAAGCGTGTACGAACGTGGACCTTGCGTCACCGACGTCACAGATTAAGAGTCCTCTTAATCTGGGCCGTCGATTGCGTGACCCACTATCATTTGAATTATTAATATTTATTGTGCATTATTTATTGTTTCACATGACCTGTGAACGGTTTGGAAATTAGATTAGATTTGACCAATCAGGTGCGATTTTAGACTGTCAGGGGTGACAACCTAAAAATTATTTCCTGTTAGTATTGTGCTGAAATAGTTGTGCTGAATTTAGCTGGGACCGTTTCTTAATTTCGTTTTATCGGCTGTCAGACCGCAACTAGATACTCGCTCCACTTGAAAATTAGAAAACGACACTCGTAGTAAAGAACAAGTACAAGTACCAACTACAGCGCAATGGAAGGAAAACGTAAGGGTAAGTGTGCCATTTATTTTTAACGTACAAATAAATAAACGTTCGTGAAAGAATAAAATTATATTTACGTTGTTTCAGTAAAAAACTAGAAGGAAATGCTTGAAAGCTTGAACGTTGTTGTAAAGGATATTGTATGTTATTTACGAGCTTTATGCCAATAAGTATTTTATATTGATCCATATTATATGTAACAAGTATTTACATACTTACTACACTACTTAATAGACAAAAATATGAACACATTTATACCAGAATCAGAAATTAAGTACAATATATTTGGTTTTAACAAGTTTCATATTTTTATGATAGCGTGATAGGCATGCGTGTACTTGATGCATGATCAAAATGTAACCAAACACACAAGTCAAAATTCGTAGTTCGATGCATGGCACGCTAAAATAAAGTACAATTAAAACACAAACCTGTGTAGATTCACGGCGCATTTTTTTACCTGATGAAAAGATTATAAGATGACTGGAAAAGTTGCGTGTAGCGTGATCATTTGCGACATCTGTTAGGAATTAATATAGTGATAGTGCATAAATCGACTGTGACAGTAAAGCATATTTTCAACTAGGCGAATTTGTTCGCGCGAATAGTAAAAAAGTAGGATCTGGTCCAACTGAGTTTTCGCGGCGAATTTTTTCCCCTGATCACATTGACACATTGGCAAGACTTGTTTTTCGCTTCGCGCGAACAAATTCGCCCAGTGGAAAATTGGCTTAATTAAATAAACTTATACTCTTCCATATATTATAGTCGCCGTTGTTTGGCTAGAAAGCGGTTTGCAGGCACGTTATTCTTTCAATTGTACATAAAGTGTACACGTTGATTGTACGAGCAGTACGTACGTCGTATGTCTATTTCAGGATATCTTGCATCGCATGCGAGTGGCTCATTCTCACATGATCAGAACTTGGAAGATATACTTGTACTTCCCATTTCCATCAAATGATCAAGTACCTCACGAATAGATTACAAGAGCGCGACGAAATTTTGCGCACTATGACTAAACTTTATTTCAACTTTATTCCACTAGACTCAACTTTATTTCAATTATTCCTCAGACATGATGTCCTGTATTTCTATACAAAACACAATAATATATTAGGCAACGTCTAAAACGGCATGGACTGGAACATCTGGAATATCTGCAATTCAGTGAAACAATATCTCCTAATTCCGAACGATAGTTTTAGTCAATACAGTATTTAAATTCAAAGATATGAAACCTGCAAAATAGTGAAAATACTATTCCCCTATCCGCATAGTTTAATTACCACCTTTCGAGAAAATAATAATAGAACTTAGAAGCCTTTACCTTTCATTTCCTACAAATAAGCTCGTGAACTAATCAAAATTGACTGAATGTGCATGTTTAAATCGCGTAAATCCGCGTTAATATTGCAAAATTGCGCAAACAAATTTTAAAAACTGATACGAATGGCGCGCCATAATACCCCTCACGATTTAACGAAAAATGTTCTTACAAGGTAAAAATAATCAAGCGCAATGGCTGCGTCATGGTATGAACTTTGCATTGTTGTGGTGTTTGTTAAACATCATAAGCGCAACCACAAATATTTATTAATAGACGAAAATATGATCACCAGAAATGAAGTACAATATATTTTGTTTTAACAAGTTTCATTTATCCATGATAGCGTGACATAACATCATTCCTGCATGATTAAAGTCAAAATTCGTAGCACGATGCACGCAGCGTGTACGCACGCAATTGCAAAATAAGGTAGCATTAAAACGCGAACTTGTATATTACACTAATTCTGCCAGCATAACTGGTTGAATCTTTTTTATTTCTATTTTCTATTATATCTGCTTATTTTAAACTGTTCAGATTTCCGTCTTGTTCCACAACGCGCGCAACTATCAAAACCAGTAACACGTGCAATTCAATGCCGAATAGCTAACTCAATGTTTTTGGATAAGGCGATATTTTAACGTATTAGCTTAACAATAGAGATCTTGAAATATATTAAATGGTTATTAAAGTTGTGATATTTAGCAATAATTTAAGAAAGCAAATTAACACTAGTTAGTAAATTAAGATTTGGCATTTGAACTGAGTTGACGTTTGGTGTATAAATTTCATACTTGAACTGCTGCAAGGGCTTGTAGTCGTTAAAGCATGAAATTTATACGCCAAACGTACACTTCAAACGCTAAATCTTAATAACTTTGGTGATTAATGACTAGTGGTTAATTTGCTTTGTTAAATCAATGCTAAATACCACAAGTTTAATAATTGTTTAATATATTTCCAAAACTGGTGTAAAAGCTGTTATAATAGAGTTGTAAAATGAAAATCTTCGTTAGCGGTTTGACATTTGCCGTGAACGTCAACCTTAAGGTCTCTATATTATCTAGTTTTCCCGTTAAACAGAATACACAGTTAAAACAAAGTTGTTAAAAAGTTTATGTGTACTAATATATTAATTTAGGAAATCATTTTTTGCTAGGTAATGATTCTGGGTACGTTCACTCGCTCTCGCCTATGAAGAAAGGGAGAAATGGAAAAGACTATTATTCATTTGAATTACAAACCGATGAAGGGAAATTAGTCCGGTCTGTGGGCTTTGATAAAAATACGCATGCCAAGGTGAATCATTACCATATGACTGGCAGTCCTGTCAAGCTTGTAAATGTCAATAAAAGCAAGGATCAGATATTTATTAATTCTACTTCGTCCATATTTGAAGCGAGTAGAGATGATGTGAAATTCCAAAAAATGCATGATGTCAATTCCGGTGAGAGTAGCGTTGCGATTTCAAGTTCAATTAACATTAAATTAGAACAGTTGCAAAGTCTATCCACGAATCAAAAAGTGAATGTAGAAGGTATTCTGTCATTGGGTTTAGAAGATCCCAAAGAGGTAAGTATGCGAGATGGGCGAAAAGGCTTGGTTAAGGAGGACTGTGTCATTGAAGATGAAACGGGCACAGCGATACTTCATATCTGGCAAAATGCAATAAAGGATTGCAAAGACGGTGTAGCATACCAGATAACTAATTTATCGGTTAAAAATTTCTCAGGTGAGATATTCCTGGGAACTACTACTGAAACATCTTTTGACAAAAGTGATTTTCAGAAGGAAGTTGTCAAGGGGAAGGAGGTGCTCTCAGACACAGAGAAAGAGATCACAGTCGAGGAGTTCAAATTGGTGGACAAGGTGAGCTCGTTCCATATGTGCCAAAATAAATCATGTAACAAACGCATGCCTGCTGTTGAACATGGTTCTGCCATTTTCAAATGCGAAGCTTGTGGGACTTCTCAAAAACTCAAGCATGTGAAGAAAGCTATCTCAGCGCGCATTTGCATCGAGCTTGAAGGAAAAGATGTATGGTTGTCTTCGTTCACCGATGTGATGACAACATTGATGTCCAAAGCAGGCGTTCAAAAAGACGCAACAGTTGATGAAGTTACAAATGCGCTGCAATGTATGGAGAACATTCCAATTAAATATAATGTAAGATCAAAATATATTTTGAAAGCCTTTTAAATTAAATTTATATTTAAATTTATTATTCCCTGATAGGAAGATATCATACTTTAATTGTTAAAAAGTTTTGTTAAGTTTGTTAAGTTCATAATAGGATTTGTTTTGTTAAATCAAAAAACATTGTTCGATTTGCAACGTTGGATTTGTTTGGTATCACAATAGTTTGTTTACAGTTATGTAGACTAAATCTTCTAATTGGCCATGGAATATGCTTGTTTACAATGAGTTGTATATGCATGATAATTGCATGTAATTGTTTGCAATAACTAGACTAAATCTTCTAATTGGCCATGGAATATGCTTGTTTACAATGAGTTGTATATGCATGATAATTGCATGTAATTGTTTGCAATAACTTCGTCAGAGTTTTTCCAAATTCAAACTTTTCAAATTCAGCAATCATGTTAAGTGGGACTTATAACAGTTGAGTATGATTGGTAAGTTTTAAATGAAGTTGGAAAATTTCTGAGGAAATCTATATATTGGTTATTTAATAATAATGAAAATATATATGATAACCTACAAAACTTTACGCATCCACTGCATGGAGTTAATAGTAAAATATTGAGGAAAACAATTGCACATAGTAATATAGAATGAACTGTTCAACATTTTTTCCAAATAAACCAATAACAAATCAGAGTAATATATATTCATTTTTGGGATTGTAAACAATGATATATAGGTATATTGGTTTTTGAAAAAAAATGTTATTAAAAAAGAGAATCTTGTGTGGATGTTTGTCTAAATTTTTTCTTATCCAGACTAATTTTCTTAAGTTGACCATTGGAATGCGCAAAAACTACAGTAGGCTATATCCGTTAATTAACAGAAAAATTGGCGGTTGTCAGCCAGAGTAAAATGCTATAGTAGGGAGCATTACGATCAGATATAATTTGTACGTTTTATTGTTTCTGTTTATAGTTTGCATTTTTTTACCTTTCCTAGTGCGATTTGATTTTTCTAGGTTCTAGCTTATGATAAATGTGAAGGAACTGGTATCATCTGATCTGAACATAATAACCCATTTACTTCTTCGAATCTAGCTGAACATGTAATCGAACAAAATCGCACGAATTTCTTATATTTTTACTAGCTAATACAGACTTACAGTGTTAGTTGAAACAAATATCTCGTGCGTTTTTATGCTAGTACTCCAATGACCCTTGCGCAAGCTGTTATTATATATATAAACGAAGACATATTCAATAGCTGAACATGTAATCGAACAAAATCGCACGAATTTCTTATATTTTTACTAGCTAATACAGACTTACAGTGTTAGTTGAAACAAATATCTCGTGCGTTTTTATGCTAGTACTCCAATGACCCTTGCGCATATACAGACTTACAGTGTTAGTTGAAACAAATATCTCGTGCGTTTTTATGCTAGTACTCCAATGACCCTTGCGCAAGCTGTTATTATATATATAAACGAAGACATATTCAATACAAAACTATTGGTTTGATTTTATATTTACACTGCAAATTTTGTCAGACAACCAACTGAACTACACACAGAAGGCCCTATAATAGAAGAATTGCACGATTTTCTTATATTTTTACTGATACATTGTTTGAATCAGATATCGCGTGCGTTTTTATATGGTAATATTCCAATGACCCTTGAGCAAGCTGTGACGATGCAGAACAGACCTCATGCTAATGACACAATTGCATATTCCAATGACCAAATATTACATGCAAACAACGACATATTCGATGCATGCCATATGTATATTGGTATTGACATTCAACTTGCTTTCAATATTCGACAAATATATCCCGTATCTCAAAAACTTCGTACGCTAATATTCCACTGACCCTCGTGTAAACAGTGCTTGGCTTATCATATATTATAGACCTGACCCGATTGCAATGTCGTGTTTAACTAATGTGTCAATGCATGCCATATGTATTTGGTATATCCCCCCAAAAAACTTCGTACGCTAATATTCCACTGACCCTCGTGTAAACCGTGCTTGGCTTAGTCACAGACACAGACACAGACCGTGCAGATCTGCCCCGATTCCAATGATCTGCCCCGATTCCAATGGTAATGTCGTACAAACATGTTTATCCAATTTCTGTAGCTGAAGATAAAGTCAATTTCACACTAAATGTAGCCGGCATAAAAGTTTTATCGCAAGTCGGCTCTAAACAAACGACATATTCGATTCTATTTGCAATTCGATTCTATTTGCAACCTGATAAATACAATAAACATCCTGATAAATCAAACTATTTAAAATATACAATGACATCAATGTTGAAAATATACAATGATATCAATGTTGATAATAAACAAACGACATATTCGATTCTATTTGCAACCTGATAAATCATAATTCGATTCTATTTGCAACCTGATAAATCATACTATTAAAATGTACAATGTTGATTCTATTTGCAACCTGATAAATCATACTATTAAAATGTACAATGTTGATCAAACAATTGTAATACAATATGTTTGATCAAACTGATATGTCAGTCGTCTTTATTAAACTATGACATTTAATACACGATATAAAACAGACCCAGTGCGCTAATATTAACCCCAATACCCATGTACAAGATGTACAAGCTGTGACTGATATAAACAATGACATATTCGCCCATGTACAAGCTGTGACTGATATAAACAACGACATATTCGCTTCTATATATTCGCTTCTATATGCGTTGGAAATGACTTTCAACCAGACAAAACATATTGCAATAAAGACTTTTATACTGATATGTCAGTCGTCTTTATTAAACTATGACATTTAATACACGATATAAATACACGATATAAAACAGACCCAGTGCGCTAATATTAACCCCAATCACCCCTGTACAAGCTGTGACTGATATAAACAACGACATATCGCTTCTATATGCGTTGGAAATGACTTTCAACCAGACAAAACATATTGCAATAAAGACTTTTATACTAAGAATTTATATACATCTCTATACAGTGTGAGCGTTATGTTATACTAAGAATTTATATACATCTCTATACAGTATGAGCGTTATGAGCGTTATGTTATACTAAGAATTTATAATTTTATATACATCTCTATACAGTATGAGCGTTATGAACTTAGCCTGTGGTCTATAGATGGTCTCTATACAGTATGAGCGTGGTCTAGAACTTAGCGTCTCTATACAGTATGAGCGTGGTCTAGAACTTAGCCTGTGGTCTATAGACAGTTCGTATTTCAATGATAAAAGGAACCGCGCAGCAGGACACCGCGGACACGAAGGCTACGGAGAGCCACAGAGAAACGGAAGATCGCGCTTCAGTCTCTCACATAGTGGTTAGCTGCGCATGCGCGGCTACCCACAAAAACTGTTTCATGACCCACCCAATCTAAATTGGGAAAATACACTTTTAAACTTGCAGGTATGAACATTGTAAATATACACGGCACTGTATTGACATACATAATTCCACCAAGCTTGACATACTGAGCTGCTCTCCAGTTGGTCATATTTACTGTGACTCGACCACTTCTTGTTGTTGTATAAACAAAGTATTAGCTTCAATAGCGTCATTTGCATTTGATAATTTGGATAGTCTTCTTTACTTTTATTATTAATATCTTTATTTTTTGAAGTAGACATGCACAGGTTTTTGTTTGGTGGCCCAACCGTGGACATACAAAAAAATTGGCGGCCCATCGAAACTGCCCAAAGATTTTCCATGGCCCATCCCAAATCACTCCAGCCCAACCTAGCAGTTACTTTATGACCGGTCCCTAATTCAAATATTTGTAGCAATTTATTTCAGCGTGCATCGTTGTAAAGCCAGTTTTCCCGAGCATGCGCAGATTGAAAAGAGGTTGATAAATCCATGTACTTCCGTGTGTATTCGCGTATCAAAATGAAAAGTTTGTCATAAGTCAACTTTTTGGCGTCCTACAGAAGTATTACCAATCAACATTCACTAAATTTTGAAATTTAAAAATGTTTAACGTTTTTGATACGCCCATGATGTAAAACACGAACGACTTGATTGTAAACACACGGCAGTTAATATAAAACACGAACAACTTGTATAGCAATCAAAGTTGATATTTTGTAATATTTGACTAGCATAAGCAATTGTATAGCTCTATTTGAATTATCTAGATATCTATCGGAATTGTTGTTTTCTTCGTTATTTTCTGCCATCATGCGAAATTAAATTAAACCCACTTCAAGCGTACCATGCCGAAAAGTATAAAAAACATTCAGTTTAAATTGCAAAATTTAGTGAATGTTGATTAGTTAATACTTTCGTAGGACGTCAAAAAGTTTTACTAAAAATGTATTCACCAATAGTACAAATAAAATAGGAAAATTTTATAAAACGTTAACTTGGGTTCGATTCTCAAAAACAAACGTGTTCGTTTCTCTTAGTACTTCGGCTCGTAAATATACGTTACCAAAAACACCATTTGCACGAGCTTGGGTTTGAATGCCAAATGTTTCTTAAATAGCTGACGCAGAAACTAGCACAAAAAGATAATATGAACGATATATGAAGTTGTCGTAAGGTGGTTTCGAAATTCTAAGATCAGTACATGGACGATTTTGGACTATACGCCAAAGCCGCTGGAGATTTTTAAATTTTTAAAATTTTAGATGAAGTATATAGACGTATCAGTTGATCCCATTTTAAACGTTATAGAAGTATTTTGAATGGTGTTTTTGGTAAGGTATATTTACGAGCCGAAGTACTAAGAGAAACGAACATGTTTGTTTTCGAGAATCGAACCCAAGTTGACATTTTATAAAATGTTTCCTATTTTATTTGTACTATTGGTGAATACATTTTTAGTAAAACTTTTTGGCATCCTATGGAAGTATTAACTAATCAACATTCACTAAATTTTGCAATTTAAACTGAATGTTTTCATACTTTTCGGCATGGTACGCTTGAAGTGGGTTTAATTTAGTTTCGCATGATGGCAGAAAATAACCAAGAAAACAACAATTCCGATAGATATCTAGATAATTCAAATAGA